ACGATATTATTGTTGTGTAGAAGTAATTATTGACCAAAGTCTGAAACAACTTGATACTAGTACGAGCGATATTAACTAGCAAATATCTATTCCAATACTCTTGAAGGTTTTAGAAGGTAAAAGTTTGCACGTACTTGATATTTACACGAAGCAAATGAATATATGGCACTTATTATTAATATAAATTATTTATTAGTTAATCATAGTTAATTGATATGTATATACACTTTAATTTGTAACTTTTATGGTTAAACTATTTGGTTTAATATAAACATCATGAGCGGGCAAGTACTTATCATTTAAAAATTCATTGAAATGCAGCCGCAATATTTGATTTAAATTGAAAAGAAGAAGAAAATTTTGAAGTTAAAGTCGAAAAAATATACTCCATTTATTTTAATATATGTGAACCTATTTGATTGGGCATTAAATTTTATGTGGTCTTAAATATGACACAATAGTTGTTGGTTGTAAGACTTTGAAAATTTATGGTTTTCAAATGCAACTATAAATCATCCCTTGTTGGGAGGCTAGCTTTGCTGCTTTTTTTTATTTTTATTATTTTTTATTATGTTATTTCTGTAGAGTTTGTTTTCATTTTGTAGGATTATGAGCATGGGAAGCAAGGTCATACGATATGTGCAAAAGCGAGCTAGATGGTTAGAACTAAGTGTAGGGTGCCCATATAGGACCATGAATTGGAGAAGTCTGAGTACTTCACGAGCTACTATTGCTTCGGCTTTTGGCCTTTCAGAGATTTTTTGTCCACTCTCGTTATTTTTATTTTATTTGTGCATTGGGGTATGACGACCCGGCCATACGTTTTAAGTATTGTAGCCTCGTTTTCCCATTTATCGTTTCTTCTATGTTCATTTGTGGTTTAGTGACTTGCCGGGGGTGATTGATTTGGTTCCGGGGATGATTCGCAATGAATTGATATACTTAGTCCCAAGGTTGGAGGCTTAAGTTGTTACAGTTGACCGGAGTTTAACTTTTGAATAGACGACTCTATAATGTATTTTTGACAGTTCTGATAGCTTCGTATGGTGATTTTGGACTTAGAAGTATGTCCGGATATTGATTTCAGGTTTGTAGGTCGTTTTGGCTTGAATTGGCGTAAATTGAAAAGTTGAAGGTTTGGATGGTTGAGAGTTTTGACAGAGAGTTGACTTTGTTGATATCGAGTTCGAATTTCAGTTTTGGGAGTTGGAGTAGGTCTGTTGTGTCATTTTATGACCTGTGTGCAAAATTTGAGGTCAATCGAAGTTGGTTTGGTATGATTCGGCATTGGTTTTGGAAGTTGGAAGTTCATTAGTTCATTAAGCTTGAATTGGGGTGTGATTCGTGATTTCGATGTTGTTTGATGTGATTTGAGGCTTCGACTAAGTTCTTATCATGTTTTAGGACCTGTTGGTATGTTTGGCTGGGGTCCCGGGGGCCCCGGGTGTAATTCGGATGAAGTTCGGCTTCATATTATTCTCAAAAAATTACTGATCTGGTATATGGTGCATTCGTCTTCGCGTTCGCGACACAGGGTCCGTGTTCGCGTAGTGTTATTGATGGCAGGTGGGTTTTTGCTCTTAGCGTTCGCAACACAAGGGTCGCGTTCATGAAGGCTTGAGGAGGCTGTCATCGCGATCGCGAGCAGGACTCGTGCTCGCGTAGAAGGAAGACCGGTTTTGGGCATCAGGCATTTACCCTTCACGTTCGTGGGAGAGGGATCGTGTTTGGGTAGGTATGGGATCAACGGTCATCGCGTTCGCGACAGGGTCATCGCGTTCGCGAATGAGGAATTGGCAGCTGGGGAGATTTGTACTTCGCGAACGCGAGGAACAAGCTCTGATTTGGGAGATTTTGAAGGGGATTTTTAAAATTTGGATCGAGGTAAGTATTTTTGACTCGAATTTGTTAATATTTCATGAATTTATCTTTGTTTTGGCATCTAAATAGTGAATTAAAGTGAAGAAATGAGGAATTTTGTGGAAACCTTTTTAAAATGAAAAATAGAGGTTTGGAAGTTGATTTGAGGTCGGAATTGAATAATTTTGGTATGGTTGGACTCGTAATTGAATAGGTGTTCAGGTTTTGTAAATTTTGGCAGGTTTCGAGATGCGGGCTTGGGGTTGACTTTTTTTATTTTGGTTAAATATCTTAGCTTTATCGTATTGAATCGATTCCTATAGCTTGTATTGATTGTATTAAGTTGTTTGTGACTAGATTCGAGTAGTTCGGAGGCCGATTCGCGAGGCAAGGGCTTTGTTAGAGTAGTAAGTTACGCGTTTTGAGGTAAGTAATATTTCTAAACTTTGAATTGAGGGTAATTATCCCCAAAAAATGTGTTATTTATGTTGTGTTCGGGTGACGCACATGCTAGGTGATAGACTTATAGACGTGCACCGTGGTAACCATGATCCGGGTGGATTTTTGTACTGAGTTACTATCAAGTCTTGTTTTATCTATGTAATCCCTACTTATTAGACTAATTGAAGTGTGATTCATGTTAGAAATCATGTTAGGCTATGTGCTTATTCGGTTGTAACTTAATGAGGTTATTTCTACTATTTTTGAGTTATTTGCTTTAACTACAATTACGTACTAAGTCATGATTCTTCATTTGCATATCACATCTCAGTCTCTGTTATCATTCACTGTTACATTACATGTTATCATTGTTTGGGTTGAGTGGTACGAGATGTGTGAGCCCTTGAGACTTGAGATATTGATGACTGAGTGGGCTCGAGAGCCGGATTGTGAGTGTTATTGTGGATCGAGCGGCACGCGCAGCAAGCCTTACTGGCTTATTTATTATTGTGGAGCGGACTGCATGCCACAACAGGCCTTATATTAGCTTTTGGGCAGGATCCGCCCTCCGAAGTCTGACATACCAGCAGTGAGCACATGCATAATGATATATATATATACACGTGCTTTGGCGAGGGGCATTGATTCCAGGCACCCGTACAATGCTGAGTAATTATGTGTGCATTTGGCAAACAGATTGAGTATTTTTGAGATAATGAGTACTCGGGGATGTAAGTGATGATGATGAACAAAAATGGTTGTTGCATATGAATATAGAAGCCCCATAAACTCAACATTTAATGCACATGTAAGTGATGATGATGAACACCTTACAAATGGGGATTGGGCTAATGTTAAAATACTTGTAGATTTTTTAGAAAAATTTCATATTGCTACAAATGAATTTTCTGGGCAATATTATCATACTATTTCTAACTGTTTAGTTTATATTGCAGAACTTGCAAATTTATTTGCTCATTTTTCAGAGGGTGGGGAAATTTATACACTTGCTATTGATTCTATGAGAAAAAAATTTAAAAAATATTTTTTTCATATTCCCCCTATTTATGGTATTTTTGCTTTATTAAATCCTTATATGAAATTAGGAGATCTTCATTTTTGGTATGAAACTGTTTATAATAGTTTAGCACTTGAAGATGAGGAATTGTCTCAACTTCCGGAAGCAATAGCCTCAATTAGAATAAATGCTCAAACTATTTTTAATACTTATCATGTTGCATTAAATCATGCTAGACCAAATGTTCCAACTCCTTCTTCTTCTGATTCTCAATCATCTAAAAGAACTGCGGGAGTAAGAGCACTTAGTGCTTGTGCGGGGTTTAGGGATCCTCAAGGTTCTAGTAGTAGTGATTTTTCACAACTAAATGAGCTTGAAGTTTATTTGTCGCAGGCAATTGAGGAAGTGAATCCCGACGGCTCCATTAATTTTTTGGAATGGTGGAAGGACAAAGAAAAATACTTTCCGTTTCTTTCAAGGATGGCCCGAGATATTTTAACTATTCAAGTTTCAACAGTGGCATCAGAGAGCGCTTTCAGTCAAGCAAGACTTCAATTCGGTGATTATAGAGCGTCTATGAGGGAGAGTTTGGAAAAATCAGTACTTTTCAGAGATTGAATCCGGTCGGAAAGAAGAAATTTTGGACTTGCTAAATCACAACCAGATGAAGACGAAGCTTACGAAGAAATGCTAGCTGAACTTGCGGAGGATGTTACTTCGCCCGAAAGTGGCGATGACCAAGCTACTTTTCTGCCATCACCAACGGAAATTCCTCCGGACCTTGATAGATTTATAAAGTTTGTAAGAGATACCATGTAACTTATATGAACAAAAATTAGTATGTATTATGTAACTTATATTTTGGCACATCTTGATTAGTTTCTTCTTCTGCTCAATGGTGGTATTAACACCTTGTTGTGCTCATTCCATAGGGAGATGAAGGCTAAGAAAGATATTGTCATATTTTTTAATGCTATAATAAAATTACAAGGCATATCTTTTTACAATATTTTTGTCTTTAGACTTAGATATTATTTTAACATCCTTTTGTCTCTAATTTCAATTTAATTTTTTTTTAAAAATCTGTTGGGCCCACTTAGCCCATTTAGCCCGCGGGCCGGGGCCGTTTAACCCGGGACCAAACGGTCCCGGTCCCGGACCGGTCCCTACAAAAAGACCATTTAGCCCGTTTAATTTGGGACCGCTCCGGGACCGAGATCGGGACCGTTTGGACCGGACCACTTAGCCCGTTTAGGCCCGGGACCGGCCCACTTGCCACCCTTAGTGTGACCATTTAGCTTGTTATTAAGGTTAAAATAAGAAATTTAAGTTAAATTCTTTTGAAGGTTAGAAAAATTATTTTTTCTAAAATGACTAAAAAGGAAACTAGCTCATATATATATATATATATATATATTTTATTTTAGATTCAATTGATTTTGGTTATGTTTTTATTTTGAAAAAACGTTGAAGTTTTGTTTTACTTGTAATACTATTTTAATTTTCGGACCCCACGGTGTGGGATAATAGTAGGTATGCTGTTGTTGTTGTTGTACTATTTTAATTATTTTTTTAAATTTCAAATTCTCTATTAAGTTGAAATTAGAAAAAGGACTAAATTGTAAAATAAATATTCAATTGTAAATAATGTTTCAAATTAAACCTTAAAAAAGAAATAAAATCCATTGCCAAACGGGGAAGATAAAAATTTGCATATACTTTCACTGAACGGAAAACTTCGAGAAGCGAAATGGAGGATAACTTCGTCGACGGCGATCGACCGACGGTGATGGTGACGAACGACGACGGAATCGACGCGCCGGGATTAAGAGCTCTAGTTAATGTGCTTGTTTCTACCAATCGCTTTCACGTCCTTGTTTGTGCTCCTGACTCGTATGATCACTCACTCAAGCATTCTCCTTACAAATTTAATGTGAATTTGCACGTTTTATGTTAGTATGTACAACTATTTTTTAGTTAAATTTCTGTAACTACTTATATGTAGCGACTTCTTAGTTTTACTTAGTTCGGTTGCTTATATATATTACAATGATTTGTTGAATAATGCTTGAGGTTAATTTTCCTTATTTCGGCCGGTATGGGTGGTTAAACTAGGTAAATTGAAAAAGTATATTTTGTTAATGTGTAGAGAAAATTTGACTTTTTAACTTGTATTGGAAACCCAAACTTTTACCGGCGTGCAGGGAGTTCTACCACTCCGGTAATTAGGGGTGGGCGTTCGGGCAGTTCGAATTGGATATGAAAATTTCGATTTGGATTTTCGGATTGAAGAAATGACAATCCAAATAAGCTCGTATTGGATCAGATTTTTTAAGTTCGGTTTCGGATAAATCGGTTTGGATATTTCGGATTTTCGTTTTTGAGCTTTTAAATTGAGATGTTTCCTTTTCTTACAAAAATTAATATCCAAATAAAGTACTCATGTTAAATTGCCTTAAAAGTTTCTCATTCTCACCACAATGATCCAAATAAAATATTCAAGTAATGAAATAATTATCATGAAAATGCAATAGAGACATTAATACGGCCGATAAGAAGTAGCAATAGTAAAACCATGTCTAAATAGAATGTATTCTGACAGTAACTTAGTAATTAATTGAATATATGAGACAATATCTAATGAATAGGGTATTGGACTTATTATTATTGGCATGCAAATAATGAACTAAATGTAAAGTATAAAAATTTTGAATTTTCGGATATCCAAACATCCTAAGTACATAATCCAATATCCAAAAATTTTAAAAATCAAAACCAAAATGTAATCCGTAATCCGAAAATCCAAACCAATAATCCAAAAAATTCGGATTTCGGGTTTGTCCAAACTATGCCCACCCCTACCGGTAATCCCAAATTTAGTGTTTTCAATGCAGGGGTGGTCTAGGTTGGGTTCTGCAGGTTTAGCTGAACCTGCTTTCAGCTCGAATTATGCATACATATGCAAAAAAATTATAATGTATACATATAGTATAATAAGATCATACATGTTTTGAACCCACTGACTCCAAATCCTAGATTTGTCTTTAATCATGCCATATCATAATTTATTAAAGATGGTTTTAGAATTAGGTATGTAAATATTGATCTAATGATAAATGGTTGTGGTACTTGCTTTTTATGGTTAAAAAGTAAAGAATACAAAGAAAATATATCTATAATCGAAAAATCTCTGATGGCAAGTGGTGCAATGTTTGAAACTCGGTAAATAATGCGCATGTCCCTATACCCTTTTCCATTTAAATACCAGCCTTCTGTCTGCAGTAGGGTTTTAATCAGTGGCATGCGCCTAACCTACGCATCATGAGCTACACTCTTACCATTGAACCAAGCCCTTGGGGGCGATTGCAAAGCATTTATTAGTTTTTGATAGTCCAAAATTGGGGTCTATGTGAAATTGTACTGCTTAATGATTAAAGTGAACATTGTTTTGCAACATCCCCGAATGCAAAAGGGATATTTTGAGACAGGCAGGTAACAAATTTGGATGATTGATGAGCTCTCTTGGTTATTTGAGTTTCAATTCTTTGACTGCTCTCGTTTACTACTTTGGTCATGTCTTCTTTAGGAAATCAGTTTTTACTCGATGCTTTGGCTCTCATGGAGAGCTTGACAAAATTTTCATGTTGCTGTTAGTTTTTTATTTGAACATGTTGCATGGTATTAACAATTTATATTGCTGAGACTGATATGATGTTTAGTACATCTTACATATCGGAGTCTAACATAATGTAAATCTTTTATGATTTTACAAAGGAAGGTTGGAGTTGAGCATGTATTGTTTCACTTTAGCAGTATGATGAACTTAAATATGCTAATTAGCAAATAAATATTGGTTCTGGCAATTAAAAGTTTGGAGTAAGATCTGCTTGTTGTTCTGTTCATAGTCGGCTCATTCCATGAACTTATTTTTCTCCTTGTGGATTTGGTTATGAACATCTTCTTCCTGTTTTGCTCCTTTTGAAACAGTAAGTCAATCATTCATTAGCACTACGTTAAATATAAACATCTCATTTTCTTTGCTTCTTCCTGTGCTTTACAAGCCCTGTGCTTTACAAGCAATAAGGAATATTTGCTTTTCTTTCTCTCTCTCTCTCTCTCTCTCTCTCTCTCTCTCTCTCTCTCTCTCTCTCTCTCTCTTNTGACTTGCTAAGCACTAGACCATTAATCAGAGAAGAATGAAACTTTGAGTGATTTTTTTTGACTGTTTTATGTTTTGGTCATTGATACCATGTTTACCTTTTGATTTTCACCTGCCACTTGTGCAAAACGCAGTGTCTGTATCATTGCTTAATGATGCAAGTCATGAACCCATGATATTTGTTTTCCTGTCAATAATGTTTGCCCTATGTATGCCATCTTTCTAGTAGGCCCAATATTTGTTAGAATGAACTGTTTAATGTTTAAGTTATTATATTGTTAAGAAGCTTCCAAAATTCTTGATGTCCAGTTCACTGTTGGATAATCTTAAAGTTAGGAGTTAACTGACTTTTGGTTGATGACTTATGCTCTTATATATTGCAATTTTTGCCTCATCTATCACTTGCAAAATTACATAATAGATTAAGACTTTTGCTACTGGTTATGTGCTTATTAATACTTTCAGAGAAAAGTCAGCTGTTAGTCATAGCATTACATGGCGTCATGCCCTTTCTGTTAAGCAGGTGGACATTAGAGGAGCAACAGCCTTTTCAGTTTCAGGTCTGTTTCAATCTTCAACAAATAAATAATTTAGAGTTCTGGACTGAACTACAGTATTTGACTAAGTTTATTGGATTACTAATTCTAATGATCAATGCCTCACAACCCTTTGTTATATTAAATAGTGCTATGATATTCTTAGTCCATGTAATTGAACAGACAAGTCAATCAACTACACCTCAATACCAAACTATTCTGGAAATTGATCAGACAAATAAAGGAGGAAGTCTCTCCTTTCTTGAAAACCTGAGTTTTGTGAGATTGTGCCACATAATTTGGCATTCTAATGGTTTTCTATTTGAATAGATGAATAAAGATGAACATAAGCTTTTAACTTAAAACTAAAAGCAATCTAGTTAAAGATTAGTTGTAATTTAGAACTGTGGAGCTTTTCTTGGAAAGTTCTTTTAAAATTTTACTAACAGCTAGTATATGTCATGGGATATTGGTCCAGAAATGCTCAATCAAATACAACCAAGAAAATGATATGTTGATATTATCTGAGCTGTCATGCTTCAAGATCCCAGATTTGAAGTAATAGAAGAAGATGAGAATGCTGACTTCGCTTTCCTTTTTCTATTTCTTCTTTCTTACAGGAACTCCAGCAGATTGTACTTCTTTGGGTATCTCCAAAGCTCTTTTCCCTTCAGTACCTGATCTGGTAGTACAGCTTTCTTAAACCGAGATAATATTTCTCTATTCACAACTCTTCCAAATAGATTTTGTTTGGAAAAGAAAAGAACATAAAAGAAAAAGAAAAATGGAACATCACTAATACAGATGAACACCCACAAAGACTCTTGCTTTCCCCTCGTTTATATGTATAAGTTTCCTTTTTAAGTTATTGCTTCCCTCTTCCTCATCATGACATCTTAGTGTTTCTTATTGGCATTATGCGGTTTGATTTTCCAAATACTTAGTTTTCTGTCTCCTTTATCACATGATTACTACTATATACCATGCTAGGTTTTAATTATCAATGCCTTGGGACTTTGCATAATTAGAAAGTCGTTGGCTAGAACACTCTCGCAATAATCTTAATCTATTCTTTCAGGTGATCAGTGGTGTTAATATGGGTGACAACTGCGGCTATCATATGTTAGTAGATTTTCTTCACTAGCATTCAGTTTCTTTGTGGTGATGGTGAAGTATCTTGCTGCTATACCATTATTTTTAATTCCACTGACTGGGTAGCTTGGGCTATTTATGTTATAATTTGTCGTTTTATACCTCTTTTTATTAGTATCAACTATCTAATGAAAATATAAAGAACATTCCCTCAACATATTGTAATGTGTAGGGATGGGTGTCAGGCAGTTCGTTATTGATTTTCAATTTTTGAATTTAATAAATGACGATCCAAATCTAAGCAGATAAGTTTGGTTTTGGTCGAACTTTAGAGTTCGGTGATCGGTTTGGTTATTTCGGATTTTGGTTTGAACATATATGTTGGGCTTCTTCTCTCTCTAAAAAAAAAAAAACCCTCCAAACATATGAACTTGCTTTAGTAATTCCTCATTCCCACCAGGAAATTTGGTAATTGTGAGTACAAATGCGAAGAGCGAAAAAAGGTGATGGTGGTAAGTAGAAAAGAACAATAAGTTCACTTATTTTTAGTATCAAAGTTAAACTTGAAAGTTGAAACCCTATTCTTAAGTAGGTTGTTGTTTTTTACTGATGATCTAATTTAATATCGAGCTAATCTCTAATGGGCATGTTTGTTTGGGTGGTTAAGACCTAAGTTGCTCCGCACGGCACTTCAGGTGCCGCACCCGTGTCAACACGATATTGGTGTGGGTGTATGGGATCCATACCGGATTTGATCAAACATTTTGGGTACTTTGACCATGACGGACAGAAAAATTCGAGACAAGATACAATTTGATTCCCGAATAAGAACCAAAACTAGGGTAAATTTGAAGAAAACAACATACGGTATCTAGGAAATCAATCCTTTACTTATCTACAACGTGAGAATATAAAAGAAATCCACACTTTACAAGCTATAAGTATTCCACAAAATCTCTCATAATTTATAAATAATTTTATATTTTTGAATTATTTTTAACCAGATCCTTGCACCCGTATCCGTACTAGGATCTATATTCCGGAATCTTAGAATTTACATGTCGAAGGATCCGACCTCTAGATCTGAACCCGTGTCGGACACCCACACCCGTGTCCGAGCAACTTAGGTTAAGACCTGAGGACCAAACATAAGGTTTAAGAATTTTCGTTTTCAGATATCCAAAATTTTTCATCCCGAATCCAAAACCTGAATTTTTCAAAAATTAAAACCAAACACCGAACTGTAATCCAAAAATCAAAAAATAAAAAAAAATCCGAGAAATTTGGATTTTGGCTTTTTTGCCCAAAGGCCCCAAACTATGCCCACCCCTATTACGGCGTGTTGAAATCTCATATAAGTTCTTTATGCTTTGAGTCCTTAATCCATGGCGACTTTGTTGCAAACTGTTCTTGGCTGCTCAAATGGTACAAGTACTCAGTTCAGTTTCTAGATTCAGCTAGTGAATAATAAGCATACTTACCATTTGTGCTAATATACTGGGAATGTAGCACTTTTAGGTCCATCTGTTGTATAATTTATTTGACTCTATGATATCCAAAAATTAAAGGTTTCTTTAACCTTTAACTGAATGATTCTTCTCATCCTATCGTCTCCAAGTTTGCTCTTTTCACCTTTAGTCAAATGGCTCGTCTCATCCATAAATTATCCACAGGAAGTTTAACTTTGCATTGTACCAGTGATGGATTTTTATTTTAAAAATTGAGCACAAAGTATAACTGGGTGAAAGGGAATCCATACAGCCAACTGGCATTATCTTCTTGACTTTGTACTTTCTTTTAGATGATCCTTGAACATAAAATTGAAGAATAGTGCTTTGTCAAGTTAATTTAGTTTACCATGCTTGAAACTCAAGCAAAATCAAATGTCAAACGTAAAAAAAATAAAAAATTATGAACAAAATATATTGACATTCGTAATTTTGTGGTTGCTTCTGTGAGAATTAATTTGTACCCTTGCTGAAATGTTCAGAGTATACTCGGGTACAGTGGCTGGCGCTAGGGAGGCTTTCTTCAATGGTATTCCTGCTGTGTCTGTATCATATAATTGGTATTCATCAGTGAACTTTTTGAGTTATTGTGTTTCATGCAGAGAGCAGCATCATTACCTTGTGTTTTGGTTTTGAGGGCCCTCATGCGCTCCAGAAATTCTACATTTTTCGTGCCCTATTGGTTGTTTTCTTCATAAGTCTTTGTTCCATATTTCCTTGGGATTGCTAAATACAGGGTTCGTGGAAAAAGCAATGTTAATGACTTCACATTGGCTGCTAAAGCATGCTTACCCATCATCAGCGCTATATTAGCTGAAATCAAAAGAAACAACTATCCCCAAAATTGCTTTCTGAATATTGATGTGCCAACAGATGTCATCAATCACAAGGTAAACTTTATGCTAGCTTTGTTTTTGTTGTCTATGATAGAGAATCACCTAGAGAAGGAAACTGTAATGTAGATATAGATGTTGGGATTCACTCTCGTCTTTCATCATTGGTGAAAATATCATGTAAAAGTTGGTCTTCATTTTGATGTACTTTCTTGTATGTGATCGCCTCTTGTTGGCCTTGTCAGCAGTCTGATTTGCTTTACTTCATTTACTCGCTGTTGGTCTCTTGTTTTATTTAGATTTCTATTAACAGCTAAAGTTAGGCCAAATGAGTCATTTCAGGCCAACTGAAGCATGTCTCTTTATTAATAAAATAGTTAAGAATGGACAAGGTTGTTATGAACAAACTGCACTGGTCATCTACTTTGTATTGACGAATCAATAGTCTCATCTGTCTTTATGTACTATAAAATTCTGTTAGATTTTATTGTATACAAATGAAATAAGGCTTTTCTTAGATTGTGGTTTTCTTTGTTCCCTGTACAACTCCTAAGACAAGCTTTACTCAAGCCGTCATAATGAGTGTGGCTCAGTCACTATTTTGCCAATAGAAATTTGAATGATTATCTATTTCAGCTTGAGTTTCCCTTGAGGGCCTGTATCTTAAAACTTGAATACTTTGTTTTACAAACTGTTACATTGTGTCTGTATCATTTACACCTACACCTGATTGGATAAGTGTTGTTTTTTCTCCTTAACCATTTCCTCAAAAGATTTATCCTGGTCGTTCTAGGGATACCGTCTGACTAGACAAGGAAAAAGTTTTGTCAAAATGGGATGGAGGCAAGTTAATTCTGAACGAGAAGGAGGAAAAGTATTATCCACAATGACTATGGAGACGAATTCATCAGAAAGTGCAGAAGCTAGAGCTTTGAAAAAGGCACCACAAGATCATCTACTGTTCAAGAAACAAGTGTGATCCCTTTCTCAACAGTTGCTTGCTCCATTATTGTTATCCTTATCTCCCAGATCTTTCCCCCTCATGCGGGCTCCTTGCAACAAATAGAGAACTAATGTTTTGTGAAAACCTGACAACCTTAGGAAATTAAAATAGCCCTTTGAAAGACGCTGCTCTTTTGTTGTATTACACACCAGATATTTGTTTATTCCTGATTCTTTGAAAGTTAAAGGAAAAAAGAAACAGAAAAGAAATTTATAGAGATTTTAATGGAGTAATCTGTTGATTTTACGCTTTCCTTTGTAGGTTACCAGAATTCTAGTGGAGGATGGTGATACAGACTACTGTTCTCTCCGAGAAGGATATGTATGTACTATTGATTTATATGGTTGTCAGTCATTTGATGAGAAAGACCAATCATTGGTATTGTCCTTTATCACAGATAACTGTCACACCCCTTGGCGGCTTGTCTCCAGCAGAGCTAGATGCTGTTTCATTCTTTCAGAATTGGCTGCCCAGTGTTGTTGATCATTACCCTTCCTCTGCTTTATAGTGCTGTAAGTTGGTCCCCCAAGTCAAATCCAATTCTGATGTGACCTTAACACTACTTGTTATATCATCTGTTTTTAGTGTGATAATGGACATTCGATTAGCTACTGGTGCTGGTGTTTCTGTTTTCTGTTTTTGTGTTTGATGTTGATTTTGCGTTTTTGCTACCGAGGTGCTTAATTTTGCTTGGGGATATAATGGGCTTGAACTTTCTGTTCACCATAAATTTTGACCAAGTGTGAAAAAGTTATGATCATTGTACTACTAAGCTTACTTGTATATTCCACAGAAGTAGAAAGAAACTGGTTTCATCGTTTTGATTGTTTGTTCATGTCTTCATTTCTGATGATTGTTCTTCATTGTGGTTAATCTGTGTCTAAGCTTGCTCTGATACAATGTGGGTTATCATGATCAATTTGCCAGAAGATAAGTTTGTAGAGATGAGATGTGATAAGTGGACTCGAGAAAGCTAAAGCTGATGTCCAGAGTTAATGCATTTGCATGTCCTTCCAGATGTAGGTATCCTCTCCCTGGTTAAAATTTAGATGCATCGTTTCATTTTCTGCAAGCTATTCTCTAATGTTTCTTAGGAAAGATCATAGAATTTATGATGTAGTAACAGATTTGGTGTATGTTCAAGCTTAAAGTTTTGTACAACCTGTTTTGTTTGTTCTCCTAGTTATGCTTTAAACTTAAACCAAGCGATTATTCTTATTTCCAGAAAACGGATCAAGTTTTACTGCTATATTCTCCCCGTGCTTGCAATATGAGCGTCTAAAATCCCATAGACTTATTTTATCTTTGATGATTTGCAGAACATATGTACTGTTAACAGTTTTAGTTTCGTTGTTTGTGTTGTCAATTCCATGAGTTATGTTCTTTCTTTAGCAGTTTCACAGGTATCATCTCTAGAAGACTTCTGAACACTGTATCCCACACGTATCTAAACGGCCTGCAGACTTTAGCACAATTGCAAAGTTATTAAGTTACACACGTATGGGAGAAGTAAACATAACTTTTGCTGTTCTTTTTAAGGGAAATCTAATCTCGAATCTTACCACGTTTTCTTTATATTATTCTTAAATAATCAAGAAATAAATGGCATGTGTTTATTCTTAAACGATCAAAAAGTTAGGTGGTTGCAGACGCATCACAGTCAATGGAGTATAAATTTCAATCTGGGATAGTGGGAGTAAAAGAAAGCAAAAGAAAGGAAAGAGTTCATCATCCAGATTGATGTATGTCGAAATGAAAATCACAGCTCAATCTAACGTCCTTAAGCTAGCCCATAGTCAACTTTATTTAATTCATAATAAGTTTTGAAGACCTATTGACTCATTAACTGTTGAAACTGACAAGACAACAAATAGAAAATAAAATAATGAGAGTCTACTTTATTAGAACATCTCTTTGTTCTTGGAAGCGAAACACCGACTATGCAGAACCTCTTAAAATTGTCATCAACTTGCAAAATATTAAGATTACACCTTGTACTGCTGGAGTCTGGTGTTTCAATTTCACAAAGGTCTTCTTTTCTTCTACCTTCTTGTTGTGTTGCTCGAATTCCCCAAAAAAGTGGCAGTGGGATCCTTTTAAAATGCACTGTTTTTGAAGAATCCGACACACTCGACAATATTTTTAAAAAGTTCGAGCAAAATAACATTTTTGTTCTCCACTTTTCACTCGCTCACTCGCATTACATTTACAAGCATTTTACCAAATTGCAAAGAATAATACACTCACAATAAGTGAAAGACATAATAATTTCAATAATATAAAGACTTTCAGATGAACCTCACTCACAATTCACAAGAGATTGAAGATGCAAACATGAATGAAGAGATGGGAAAAGGACCTATGTGGGACAAAAGTGTTGTAATCTATGTACATGTGACTGTAAATCTCCCCTCTCTTTTTTTGTGCTTTTATGTAAAGACCTTCATTTTGGTGGAGGCAAAGAACGTGGATGCGACTCCACTAGTATGGACCAAAGCACTTGAACATCTTCACAAGGGCAAGACTTAACATCCTCGTACAGGATATATATCCCTCTTCCTGAAAAACCAAAAATGAGAAATTTTTGTACAAAAGTAAGTATATACACATTTTTCTTGAGCAACATTATAGTTTTGTAAAAGAGAACGGAAGAATATGCAAATGCAGAGTTGTTTCTAGATGAAATATATATAAGCATGTGTATAGGGCTGTAAAAAGATCAAGTCAATCGAACTTCTTAATGTTCTGATTCAACAATAGGCTAACGGATTGGTCAGAACTAAGTATGGAGGGAGTTGAGACATTTTTCAGAATCCACAACATCTAAATTTTGTATATGCCGTTGTTAATGAGAGCTAATTATCTAGTGTACATAGAGAATCTTTGACAAAGTAAACCTTACATAAAAGTGAAACAGTGTAACAAGTAATGGAGGATCGGACATACTCTTCTTGGGAGCAGAGTGAAGACGAACCCAAAGCTTCTTCAATGGAGAGAAGAGGGATTGCAGCCACCCCATGAGGAAAAGAGGGTGGAGATGAAGTTCATGGTAGGTAATTAAAATGAAAATAAGAGAGACTATAGGAGGGAGAAAGGAGAGGGCTTAGTTTGCTTAGACAAAGGGTGACGTTTGGGTCACTGTCCTTATAAACATTTGCATTTGCCTTGCAGACAAATCATGCATTCATTTCATTTCTTTCACAATTTTAGAACTTGGTGTTATGTCTCTATCATACCTCTCCCTTTGTAGCACAAGTTATTGCCACTCTACCAATCACTTGTACTTTTCACACTTTCTATGACACCTCTGCTTTCTCCCCTTTTCCTCTTCATTGACATCCCTTATTCTTCAAGCTATTTAGTGCTTTCTCCGTCCCGATCCATGTGACACTTTTTCTTTTTTAATTTAAAATATGTCCTAAAAAGAATGATATTTTTTATAATTAATAATAATTTAATTTTAAAATATTCATTTTACCCTTAATGAAGTGATTTATACTATGAGCTCCCTTAGAATAGGGTACAATTTGATAGTTAAAGTTGAAGAAATTACATTTTGAACTGTAATGTCACAATTTCAAGTCTGGATCTGTCACGACCCCAAATTCTCCTCCATAGGATGTCGTGATAGCACCTAGTGTCTAAGACTAGGTAAGCCTATCAATATGCGGAATAACCAACATAACAATTTAAAATCTCAATCCTTTCAGTTTACATAAAGAAATTCTCAAAATCCGGTGAAATACAAGTCACAAGCTCTAAAGAAGTAGTACGAATATCTTTATACATCTGAGTCTAATGTGAATAGAGAAAACAACATAATAAGGATAGAAGGGGACTCCGGAGTCTGCGGACGCTGGCAGATATACCTCGAAATCTCCGTACACCGGTAGCTCACTGATGCCTGGTCTGATAGGGAGTACTTGGATCTGCACAAAAAAAATGTGCAGAAGCGTAGTATGAGTACACCACAGCGGTACCCAGTAAGTGCCAAGCCTAATCTCGGTAGAGTAGTGACGAGGTCAAGTCAGGCCCTACTGGAATAATAAAAGACCTGGTGACATGTTTAACAATATACTAACAATAAAATGACAATGAAAATGAATCAGGTAAATAGTATGTCACCATTTAACTACACAGAATAAGGGAAAATAATACCTCGCGGAAACAAAATAAAATTTTCAACTTTAAGAAAAATCACAACAATAATCAAAGGCAACTGCGGCCATAAATAAATATCAACAAGGGTACTCCCGAGGTACCGCCTCGTAGTCCCAAATAATAAATAATTTCACAATATCTCATTTTCTTATATCACAGCGGGAGCCTTCACATTTAATTTTAAAGAAAATATTTTTTTCGAAATAGCGTCACGCGTTTTAGCCATCCTTATCACACCACATGACTTCTAGTAGTTCCCCTACTAGCCACACGTATCAAGCCACCCTTATCTCACCGCATACGTTTCAACACTCAGACCTTATACCACCGCATGCGTATCAATATCACAATATATCACAATTTGCACCTCAAGTGCCCAAATATTTTAACTTGCCAAAATAAATAAATAACAATATTTTTCACAATAAAGAGCTCACGGCTCATGGCAAAATAAATCAACAACTATATTTTTCATAATAAAGAGATCACGACTCCATCACAATGAGTACGAAATTTTCACAAAATATTCAACAAAACTAATATTTCACAAATTTAACACCTTGTCTAAATATCAAATTTTTAAATGTAAAATACTTTATTTTTTTTATAATATTTAAATTAAGAAATTCATCCTTCAAGTAATGCACAGAACAAAAGAAAACAGAGTTTCAACTAAACAGATAAAACACTTAGCAGGAATAGGTCAGGCAAATTTAAAATACGAAAATATATTAATGATGATGAATATAACAGAATAAAATAATTTAATTAATATGCAACAGTGTACTACACAATTTAAAGACGTAATCTTCCACATTTAGCCCGTGTACATACTTATCACCTCGTGTACACGACTTTCAACACATTACACTTATCACATCAATACCAATCATAGGGGAAATTTCCTCCATACAAGGTTAGATAAGTCACTTACCTCGACTTGTTCCTATTTAATCCACTAGTAGGCCTTTTCCTCGATTATCCAACTCTGAATGGCTCAAATCCAGCCAAAATAATTCGATACAGTCAACAAAAATTATAGGAATCAATTTCATAAGAAAATACTACATTTTTCAATAAAAATCTAAAATTAACTCAAAAATCACCCGTAGGGCCCACGTCTCGGAATCCGACGAAACACACAAAATCCGACAACCCATTCAATTACGATTCCAACCATATCAGTTTCACTCAAATCCGATTCCGAATCGACACCAAAATCGCAAAAATTCGTTTCTATGAGATTTCTAAAATTTTTCCAAATTTAAATCTCAAAACACTAATTAAATGGTGAAAACAATGATATATCCATGTATATTGATCAAATCCGAGTTAGAATCACTTACCCTAATATTTTTTCTTGAAAATCTCTCAAAAATCGCCTCTCCGCAAGCTTCAAATTTGTCAAATAATGGAAAATGGGATGAAGTCCCCTGCTTTATAACTTACAGTTCTGTCCAGGCTGCCCTCGATCCTGCCCCTCGATCATGGCTTCGATCCTGGCCCTCGATCCTGGTCCTCGATCCTGGCCCTCAATCCTAGCCTCGATCATGGCCCTCGATCCTGGCCCTCAATCCTAGCCTCGATCATGGCCCTCGATCCTGGCCCTCGATGCTGGCCCTCGGGACCTCAACCAAATACACCAACAAGTCCTTAAACATCATATGAACTTATTTGAAACCACAAATCACATAAAACGACGCTAAAATCACGAATCATACCTCAATTCAAACTTAAGAAACTCAAGAATTTCCAACTTCTACATTCGATGTCGAAACCTATCAAATCAAGTCCAATTGACCTCAAATTTTGCACACAAGTCATAAATGACATAACGGAGCTATAAAAATTTTCGGAACTGGATTCCGACCTTGATATCAAAAAGTCAACTCCCCGGTCAAACTTCCTAACTTAAATTCCCATTTTAGCCATTTCAAGCCTAATTTAACTACGGACTTCCAAATAAAGTTCCGATCACGCTCCTAAATCCAAAATCACCATACAGAGCTGTTGGAATCATCAAAATTCTATTCTGGGGTCGTTTACATATAAGTCGACATTCAGCCAACCTTTTTAACTTAAGTTTTAAACTTTGGAACTAAGTATTCCAATTCATTCTAAAATCTCTCCGGATCTGAACCGACTATCCCGACAAGTCACATAACAGTTATAAAGCACAGAATGAGAAGTAAATAGGGGAATGGGGCTACACCTTTTAAAACGACTGACCGGGTAGTTACATCCTCCCCCTCTTAAAACAATCATTCATCCTCGAACGAGCATAGAGACATACCTGAAGTGGTGAAAAGACGAGGATAACGGCTGCGCATATCCTGCTCGGTCTCCCAAGTCGCCTCCTCGACCGGATGACCCCTCCACTGAACCTTCACGGAAGCAATGTTCTTTGACCTCGGCTTTCGAACCTGCCTGTCCAAAATAGCTACTGGTTCCTCAACATAAGATAGATTCTTGTCCAACTGAACTGAACTGAAGTCTAACATATGAGACGGATTGCCACGATACTTTCAGAGCATAGAAACATGGAATACCGGATGAACTACAGAGAGACTAAGTGGTAGTGCAAGTTTGTAAGCCACCTCTCCAACTCTTCAAGAATCTCAAAAGGCCCAATATACCTAGGGATCAACTTGCCCTTCTTCCCGAACCTCATCACACCCTTCATAGGCGAAACCCGGAGCAAGACCCGCTCACCAACTATGAATGCAACATCACGAACCTTCCAATCCACATAACTCTTCTGTCTAGATTGGGATGTACGAAGTGAATCCTGAATCAATTTAACCTTTTCCAAGGCATCCTGAACCAAGTCTGTGCCTAATAGCCTAGCCTCGCCCGGTTCGAACTAACCCACTGGAGACCGGCACCGCCTACCATACAAGGCCTCATACGGAGCCATCTGAATGCTCTACTGGTAGCTGTTGTTGTAAGAAAACTCCGCAAGTGGTAAGAACTGATCCCAAGCACCCCCAAAATCTATCACACAAGCGCAGAGCATATCCTTAGTATATGAATAGTGCGTTCGGACTGTCCGTCTGTCTGAGGGTGAAATGTTGTGCTCAACTCAACCCGATTACCTAACTCTTACTATACAGCCCTCCAGAACCGTGGTGTAAATTGCGTACCCTGGTCAGAGATGATGGATACCGGTACGCCATGAAACCTGACATTTTTGCAGATATAAATTCGAGCCAACTGCTCGGAAGAATGGGTAGTCATCACAGGAATGAAATGAGCTGACTTGGTCAGTCTATCCACAATCACCCAGACTGCATCAAACCTCCGGTGAGTCCGAAAACAAAATCCATAGTGATCTGCTCCCATTTCCACTCTGGAATCTCTAACTTCTGAAGTAACCCACCTGGCCGCTGATGCTCATACTTCACCTGTTGGCAATTTAGACAGCGAGCCACATACTTCACTATGTCTTTCTTTATTCACCTCCACCAGTAATGTTGCCTCAAGTCCTGATACATCTTCGCGACACCCGGATGAATGGAGTACCGTGAACTATGAGCCTCCTGGAGAATCAACTCATGCAAGCCATCTACATTGGGTACACATAGCCTGCCCTACATCCATAATACACCGTCATCTCCAATAGTAACTTTCTTGGCATCACCGTACTGAACTGTATCCTTAAGGACAAGCAGATGAGGGTCATCATATTGACGCTCTCTGATACGATCATAAAGAGAAGACTGAGAAACTACACAAGCCAAAACTCGGCTCGGCTCGAAAATATCCAATCTGACAAACTGGTTGGTCAATGCTTGAACATCCAAGGCCAAAGGCCTTTCTGCTACCTGTAATTATGCTAAGCTGCCCAAACTCTCCGCCTTACGACTCAAGGCATTGGCCACCACATTGGCCTTTCCGGGATGATAGAGAATGGTGATATCATAATCCTTAAGCAACTCCAACCATCTCTGCTGCTGTAAATTAAG